CTGGCCCACCCAGCTGCGATCTCGCTAACACGAGGGCTGGCGGGTTGGGAATGGGATCCGGGAGGATGGGATGACAGAAAGTGGGATGGCCTGCAGTGCCCAGCTACAGTTTTAAATCTTGCATGTAGGACTTTTGCCACCTGGAGGATGCTTTTCAATCAAAGCCAGCAGCAGCACTGCTCTGCTGGAGAAGTAAGAAGCTCACAGCATGGGAAAAGGGGACTGGCCATGCCAAACCTCACCTGGCCACCTTGAGAGTCAGGCTCAGAGAAAGCTGGAGCGCCCTCACCAAAGATGCTCACTCATCAGCCGGTCAACCTGCCTATCAGCCTCATGCACCTTTGCTGCACTTTGGCCAAGCCAAGCCATTTTACTTGAGGGTCTCCGGACTCATGTGCACCCTCCCAGCCCCATTAGAGCCAATCAAGGGGTCAAGAGAGGGGAAGGAGGGGGAGGAGTAGGGTTGTCTTTGGGGAAGCCTGCGCCACGGCTTGTGCTCATTCCTCAGACAGCCCAGATTTCCGAAAAGTTGCCAAGAAGAAAGAAAAGGTTGGCGAGAGAGCTACAGACACACACACAGAGAGAGAGAGAGAGACATAGAGAGACACAGATGGACAGAGATACACAGAAAGGGGGAGATAGAGAGGGAGAGAGAGACACAGAGAGAAGGGGGAGAGATAGAGAAGGGGGTGGGGGGGCATAAAGAGACACAGAAAGAGAAATACATACACAGGGGGAGAGAGAGGGGGGAGAGAGAGAGACGTCAAAAGGGTTTTGTGGTTCCTGGTGTTTTTTTAACAACTGGTTCTCTGACTTAATGACCAATGTAGCTAAGGGGTCATGTGATTGGGTGGGAGTGAGTGATGTCAAGTTAGCCACATCCACCCAGGTTTTGTGGCTCCTGGTGTTTTCTTTTTCATGGGAAATGGGTCCAAATGGGTCTTTGGGTGTCTAAGGTTGCAGACTCCTGAACTAGGCTTTTCCAACAAAGCATTTTCAACCCCCACGAGCCAAGCATCAGTGGGGCCTGTCTCCTGGTCACCCTCTCCATTGTGTGGCAGTCAGAGAGGGAAATGTGGCACTCATGCCAGATGCAGAGTTGTGGCCTGGAATAGTAAGGTGCCAGGCACCATGACAGCCACCTTGTGGAGGAGGACAACTGCACACTGGGCTGAGGAGCCAAAGAGCTGCAGCTACTGCTGGGCACTGCCAGCCCCCACACACTCATCACTTCCTTTGCACACACCGAAAGGGAGTGCCAATCTGGGGTGGGGAAGGCCAAGTGAGAAGGGCTGGTCCAGTGGTGGGATTCAAATATTTTTACTACCAGTTCTGTGGGCGTGGGTTGGTGGGTGCAGCAGAGGAAGGATATTGTAAAATCTCCAGTCAGAGATGGTATTTGCTGGTTCTCCAAACTACTCAAAATATCCGCTACCAGTTCTCCAGAACTGGTGAGAATCTGCTGAATACCACCTCTGGGCTAGTCCCTCACCATCTCCATGGGCCTTGAGTTTGACATGTCTGAGCTACATAGATTAGAAAGAATGTAGAGAATGTATCCTTATTGTCTGCATCTACAAACAATATACATGAAGTAGTTTCCATACTAGGCAATCTAACAGAGTGAACCACCTCTGACAGCATGGCCCCACAACATATCCCAAACAGCAAACTGCACCCAACAATCCACAAAGGTGACTTCAATAGCCATCACAAATACATCATGATATATACCTGCATAGCCAATACTGTTCTATTTTGCTAGAAATTGGAATCCAAATTCTCCTAATTTGCTCTACCCTGATGAAACTTTCAAAAACCCAACTTTTCTGACTATATTCATAAAACTATGGAATGGTTCCACCAAGTAGCCAGCATTATCATAGATTCATAAAGCAATAATTTCTGCAGCTAAAAAACATATACCTCAAGGATTTAGCAGAGAATACATACCAGAATGGAATGAAGAGCTTGAAGGACTCTACCAAACTTTCCCACAGAGTGGTGATCCAGAAATCACTGACAATCTCTTACTCAGCTTGATGAAAAAAGTGGGAACAATATACAGAATCACTAAATTTCAGCAAATCCAGCAGGAAAGTTTGGAACCTCTGAAGGAAACTGGGTGGACCTAGACAACCCGCCCGACAAATACCCAGGTTATCCTGACCAAATAACCTCTCAAGTTGTATCTGTCTCCGAAGCTCCAAGTACAAAAAGACACTCAACTCTCTTTAAGAAAGCCTTTTCAGCTTTTTGGCTATCAGGCCAAATTCTTCTCTATAAAGGAAATTCACATTGTCTGAAATGTGTTAAAGCACTGGCATTCATTCAGAATTCCTGATAAACTCTGGGAGGTGGCATGGAATTGGATTGGTAAATACCTCTTAGATGTAGTTTCCAACAGCTGCCTCCTGCCAGAATTCAAAAAAACTAAAATAATATCACTTCTAAAATCTTGCAAACCATAAGACAGAGATGAAAGCTATCACCCAATTTTGAGCTTCTGCTATGAATTATTGGAAAGATTAAGAACAGGACAATAGATGAACATCTATTGGAACAAGCAGGCTTCCTGCAAGACCAGAACTATATTAAACTGGTGGCCCGTAGGCCAAATGCATTACATAGAGACTACGCCCACCCCAGCTTGGCAAAAAGAAAAAAACATTGTGATACATCACATGATGGCAATGTTACACTGCAAGTTTGATACCTGTGGTGTAGGCCAAGTAGGTTTCCAACAATACCTCAAAATCACAGCCATGTTGGTAGACCTAACTTTGGCATATGACAAAGTTTGGAAAGAAGAGTTGTTATACAAATTGTGCCATATTATCCCCTGCAAAAATGTCTATCAACTAAAATTAATAATGTGCTGAGTGATAGGTCCTTTCAGATAATAATGGAGGAACAACGTAAGTAAGGTTAGGCGATTAAACAATGGCTTCTCACAAGGCTCTGTAATGGCACCTACAATATTCAACTTATACATATTAGATATCAGCCAACAACAAGAGAATGCAAAATTGGATACAATGATGATTTGGCTATAGGACTACAAGAAAAATACATGGAGGTGGTTGACAGCCTAAACTTTAAAAAAGTGGATTTCAACTAACTTAAAAGAGAGCTCGGGAAAGATTGGATGAAAATCTGAGAACAAATAAAGTAAAGAGGGATTTTGGGACAATCAGTTAAATATGAGCCAGCAGCCACCAAAAAACCCAATGCAATCCTAGACTGCATTAACATAGGGTCAGATCACATGACATTTTAGTAACACTTTATAATGCCTTGGTAACTTAGAATATTGGTTCTGGTGCCACAAGAATATAGAGAAGCATGCAGTTCTAGAATTCATTCCAACTTCATAATAGCAGTTCAGCTCTGGTGGGTCCTGTGACAGAAGAGAGGTGGGACTTAAGAATTCAAGAGTTGCCAGCATTCCAACTGCTAACTGCTTCACACATAGGGATTTATGGGCAATTGCTCCCCCTCCTTGTGTTTGTCTTTCTGTGGGTGTATGTGAGTGTATGTGAATCATATACCACTCCCAGTTCCTTTTTAGAACTCAAACTTTATATTACAAGCTTTTCTGCCATATCACATTTCGTACTGTGCTGCGCTACTTTTGTAGTGTTGTCCTGCTGATAAACAGAGGGACAGAGTTCCAAGTCCCTTGCATAATTTCTTCCCAACATTCCATTAGATTGGAAAAATAAAAATTGTCATTCAGAAAGTCAAATACTGAAGCAGGTCCTTGTATCTTCAATTTTCATCATCTACAATCTGACAGTGCAGCATCTTTCTTAGATAACAGGTTGGTCAGCCTTTTTCCGCATTTTCTCCCCCCTACTATCAACACTTTTTTAAAAATGTGTTTCTGCACATTTCTTGAGGCAGTATCAGTGCTACTTCTCTCTGCTGCCCATGTTAATTCTTGGTTATTCATTTGCAGATAAGCAAACATCGTACATTGCCCTGGAAGATTTCAAACATGAATCCAGTATTTTGCTCCCTTGGCTAATATGCAGAGTTCTGAATAATAATAAAAAAGAAAGACTTAACCTATATTCTACTTCTCTATATATATCTTTATATATAATTACAATATGTACTATATATTTTTTATTTTTCTTATATTTTATTAATGTAAATATATGTATGTATGTATGTATGTATGTATGTATGTATGTATGTATGGCATTCAGCTTTGTTCGGGTATTTTCCCACGTCATTGTAGTTGTGCTTTTAAAGTTGTAGCAACGTTTCAGCAGAATCTCATCTGCCATCATCAGGCTTCCTATACAGGATATATATATATCCTTTTCTGCCACCTCTCTTGCTCTTCAGAACATCTTATTCCTAGAGACGAGGTGAAACCACACTTTTCTAGCTTTCTGAAAGAGTGTTAAAACCTGACTTTACCAATTGGCATAGGTAGAAGTGTATTAGGTGAGTGCTAGGCAAACGGTGATGCAAGGGTGCTCCCTTTGCCTGTTTTAACTTGCAATTTCTCAATTTTAATTTTGTTCTTAACTGTATTATCTTTGTTGTATTTATGCTTTTATACCTCTTTTTATATTTTTATTATAAACTGCCCAGAATCTCTTAGGTGAAATAGGCAGTGCAAAAATCTAATAAATAAATAAAATATATAAAAAATGCATGAAAGTAATGTAAAATGCTCTTCCAGAAACAAAGGTATTTGGAATGTCTCCCTCTTGTGTAAAACACAATCTGTTTTTATATAATAGTTGCAGCTGCAATACCGATTAATATGGGTACTCGTAATTATTATAAAGCAAAGTTACAATTTTAAAAACAACATATGGTGAAGAAAAAATAATAAAACTTCATCCATGAGAGTTTTGAAAACAGAGTACAACATTCAATATCTATTTCAATATAGTATTAACACTTTCAGAAAAAATACTACAAAGGTTAATTGATAACACTCAGATCTCAGTACAGCAATAAACTTAATTTTTACTTACTGTTTTCCTATAATGTTCAAGTGTTCTTGCTCAAGTGGATGGAACTAAATAATTTTTTTTCAATAACAAACTTGAAGACTCCAAGAGGTCCAATCAGGAGGAAGGCCACTCTGTTTTATAACATCTAATCATATTTGAACGTAATAATCATTAACTTTCTGTAACTGTTTTTTTTTGTATGCATTTTTTAAAATTATCCGGAATTGTCAGCTTTGGATAACTGAATATCAGTTCTCTTGTGCAAACTACAATGGAATTAAATAAAAATAAGTTTAAAAATAAGCTTCCATTGCAGGATTGATTGATTTTATTTATTTTTTAGACTTGTTTGCCGACCATCCTGCCTGGAGGTCAGCTAACATTGAAAGGCAATAAAATATTAGAAAAATAGTTATAGCAATTTACAATTAATAAGATGATGAAGATGCAGAATTAATGTCCATAAATGTCACCTTCAAAATTCTAATCATCCAGTTAACTTGAACCCTACTTCAGTTTTGCTATCCTACCAACCAATTTCTCTTTTTTATCCTGCCTTTCAATCACAATATGCAAAATGATTTGATATGGGACATGGGATGTTATTCTCAATTTGTAAATATTTGTGTTGTTATTCAACTCAGCTTAATTTATAGTGTCCTCCTTTGCTTGAGAACATTATATAGATGTTAAAAGTTGCATAATTAAGCAACTTTTAAGCAAATTAAAAGGTACTGAAGCTGCTTGTGTCATTGCTGAGTCTAGAGATGAAAATTAAGCAAGTCAAACAGAAGTGTATTTATGCTCTAAGGCAGGGGTGTCAAACTCATGGCCCAGGGGCCAGATCTGGCCCATGGGGTGCTTAGATCTGGCCTATGGGATCACCCTGGAAACAGCAAAGGACCAGCCCATAGTGCCTCTGCCAGCAAAAATGGAGCTCCCAAGCTCCATTTTTGCTAACAGAGAGTTGCAGGACACCGTCACAACCAAAAGCAGAGCTCGGGAGGGCTGCGGGTGGCCCTCTCAAGCTGTGTTTTCACTGGCAGAGGGTTGCAGGAAGCTGTCACAGCTGAAAATGGAGCTCAGGAGCCCATTTTCACTGGCAGAGCGCTCAGGCCACGTGAGTGACGTCAAGCTGTCCATGCCCACCCTGCCCAACCCTGCCCCCTGAAATCAAACTCAACCCTGATGCGGCCCTCATTGAAATCAAGTTTGACACCCTTGCTCTAAGGGAAGGGCAACCAACAAAAAGGTACTGAAGCTGCTTATGTCATTGCTGGGTCTAGAGATGGAAATTAATGGCATGCTTGGAAACATAAGGAGTCTATCTTAGAACTAACCTGGGAAACCTATTGAAAGCAGATTTATTTACTTAACAGGAACAGAAAAAGCAAAAAAGCTGCATTTGTTGTCAATTTTGTGAAAAATTTCCAAAATTTATTTTACTCTACTTATCAGTGTGATTTGCTTGTAAGGCTAGAAAGTAATATAAGAACATCCATTCCCTTCTCCCCACCCATGGAACAGCCTACAAAATTTAGGGCTAGTATTGATTCTCAGGAACATTTCAGGATTTCCCTCCTTTCTTAATAACTTTCAATTCTCCATCCTATAAGCAGCATACCCAGACCTTTTTCAGTCTAGTCTATGCAGATTTGCATCCTCTTTCAACAATAATTTCTAATATTGATCACAACCATCCTCCTAAAAGTGAAAGCTCACTGAACTCTTATCTTGCACTCTTTGTTAATCTTAAAATGTTTAACTTGCTCTTAAAGGGATTTTGCCCCAATGTAAAATATTTTTATGAATCTGTTGCTGGTCTGCGCTTAAGAAGCTGATCTACTCTTAGGTTTACATTTACAAATGGGTACAATTACAAATAAAATATATTTAAAACATATAAGGAAAATTTATTGAGCCACAATGGCGCAGTGATTGGAATGCAGTACTGCTGACTGCCTGTAATTTGGCAGTTCAAATCTCACCAAGCTCAAGATTGACTGAGCCTTCCATCCTTCCAAAGTGGGTAAAATGAGGACCCAAATTGTTGGGGGCAATATGTTGACTTAGAGGTTTACACTTGTCCCATATCAAATCATTTAAGTTTTCAATTCAATTGTATAGAATGTGAAGGATGTATATTTTATTTTTATAATGCACACTGAATATGGCATTTAATTCCATTGTACGAGGTGCAATGACAATAAAGTAACAAAACTAAACTAAACTAAAATGGAAAGGGCTGTAAAGCACTATGTAAGTCTATTGCTATTTAATCCAATGTTGGTGGATGTAGTATGCTAGATTATGACTTTTAGTGTTATTTAGGGGGCTTCCAACAGAATATGACCAACTGATCAGTCCAAGATGTTTCTTCCAGCTAGAAGCATTTCCAATTTGTGAACAGGAAACAGATTACCTAAGTGTGTATGACTCTCCTAGGTTAGAATCATAGAAATCACCCCACAAGATCCTCCAGACAGTGGCAGTTCACAAGGTGACTCTGGAATAGTTCCCTGATATTGCTGGGTGATGGGTTAAGCAGACTTTTCTGGCCTCACATGTCAGGGAACATAAGCACCTTGTTATTCAAGGACAGATAGATGTTCCATTTATATTTCTGCAAATGTTAACATAGGGGGCATTTGAACAGCAACACGCAGAGCAGGAAATCAGATCAACCAATCACCATACACGACACATACCTCCCTTCAATCTGCTGTTGGAATTTGGGAGGTATGCTCATCTGTCTGTAAACTACATTTACCTTTCAACCCCTTCACAGGGCAGGTAATGCCTACCTGCAATGGTAGGCAACTCTAAATTAACCTCAAGCATCCAATTGAGAGGCAGGGATACAGCCACTTTCCAGTTGAAAAAGCAGCCATTTTGTTTTCTCCCCCACCTCCAAACAGACATTAAATCAGGTCTTCCATTTCTTAAAATACCATATTTGTTATCTGTACTAAACTGAAAGAGCTCTCTTAGCCTGTTTAACCTATTATTCCTTTTTTATTTATATTTCTTTGTTTTAAACAAAGATTTGGTCTTGTTTCTATTGGAAAATTGCTTCTCGTTTTTATGCTAGAAATAAAGAAATGAAATGTAGAATTTAGTTAAATATTGAATAATGTGTACTTACAGATATGATTTGGAAATAAACAGCTTTTGTTCCTTTTTCAATCCTGCACTCCCCCTTCTTAATGTTTATTTCATTTTATTGTATTTTATGTTATAACAAATGTCAATAAAAAGTTATTAAAAAGAGTGTGTTATTTAGGATTAAGCATTTGCATAGAAGTCAGCATCTATCCAATTATTGAGAGGGGGAAAGATGCTAAATTCCAGAATAATTGGAAATGGGCCAAACACAGCCTTCATCACCTCATAATCTATAGACTGCAAAAAAATGGTACAGGTAAAATTAAGAATTCCTCTGCTGCTTCTATTTGTCATTCTGTCTGCTCATTAAGAGGGTGCTATTCTAAGATCACTTTCCTCTGCCTTTTCCAGGCATGCAAAGTTTTGTCTTTCCTCAAAATATATTTTCTTAGGTGTCTGTTTGTTTTAACTGGACAACTATAATGATTTCATCCTTGAATGATCCTATATTCTTGGCATACACTCCTAACAGACATTCTTTACTCATTCCTCAGCAGTGCTAGGGAGAGGTAGGTGTGTGTGTGTGTGTGTGTGTGTGTGTGTGTGTGTGTGTGTGTGCACGCACGCGCCCCCATGTATGTGCAAGCCATTCAGGTCAGATTTTCTCCAACATGCACATGTAGAACAATGTAATCTCCACTGCTAAATTATGGCACTTCTGATAGCAATAAATTGAAAGATTACAACATCATTTCACATAGACTCTTCCCTTGGGAACACTATAATGAAGTTATTCAGAGTTTGGATGTTTCATATGTAACCTCCTGCCCTAAAATAAATATTGAGAAAACAGTTATATTTCTTCCATTTCAAAACATGTTAAGAATAATGCCAATAAATTGTTTCACTTATTTTACAATACTTCAGCTAAAACAGAAAGTCCAATATAGATTATAGGAATATTGAAGAAAATTTATTCATATTACACATATCAATATACATACATGAGCTCCTCAATGCAAATAGAGAAATTCTGGGTACAGCTCAAGAGTTGCTCAGTGCAATTACATTGGCATGAAACTAAATTTTCTTCAATGTGCATATAAAGACACAGTTCAATACATAGATACTGGAAAGCATGAGTAGCCAAGATGTTCTTTTTAACAAATGGAAAAAATTGAGAGACCCACTGAAGAAAGTACTTTTTTGAGTTTTGGAGTAGCATTCTTGTGTGTGTTATCCTGAACATATAATTTGGTAATATTAGGGAAAGATGGGAATATAATTTGCATGGCAATTTATAAAAACCAAATAGGCCCTACAATATATTTGAAGAAACCTTTTACGTTGCCTTGAAGCTTCTCCTGGTCTTCCAGTTTTTGGTCAAAAGTCAGATGAGGCTATTATGCAGTGTCTCTGATTCAGTAGGACTCTCTTCAGATTTTTTTTTAAGGGCATGCTGGAGAAAGCAGAGTCACATTTTGATGAGCCTTGTCACAACAAGCAAACAGCAAACACCTTTACAGCTTTCAGCTACTCATTTTTGGTGAATAGTATGCCCTCCACCATGCAAAGTATTACCAGCCTTTCAGAATGGCCATGTTGCCTAACAAAGCAACTATGAGGGAGGGAGCCCTTTGCATGAAACTTTTGTTGAAGCAAAATATCGTTTCAAAGACTTCCATAGCCCTGGTAGACAACACTATAGTATCGTCCAGTATTACATTGGACTTTCAGCTTCTAAAATCTGAAAAGACTGACAAAATGTTTGGCACACTGAAATCTACTGCTACAAATTTTCAAACTTTTTCTGTTTCCCAACTTGTAAATTCTGCCAAGATAGAAGTTTAGAAAAGGTAAAATGTTTCATTTGTTTTTTTCTAGTTCTTTTATTGATTAATCATGGTGTGCATCTAAATTGTTTCTTGTAAAATATCTAGCTTTATTACTCCAAATTGCTATTTTGTTATTTTCAGAGGAAAG